AGAAAACTGGGTCTTCAAGAAACACTGGGAAAAATGCTTTATGCCACTAGAATCAGCTCGTCGAGCTCTACAAACTGGGATATCTCCCACTCGAAACGGTGATTCACACTTGGGGACCTTCCCTCGTGAGACATACTAGAGAGATGACTTTCAATGGTGAATTCAACGGTGTTATATTGTAGTTTGTTGATGAATAGTAGAACTGTATTTGTTTTAAACATTGAGGATAAAAACATTCTAATGTTGATTGTAATAATGAATCCGTCAAGTAACAACCTAAATAAAATCCCGATATTTGAAATTCAATAGTAAAATTACTATTATATATTGCTGATAATTCGAAACATTTTGTTGGATTATCACAAGTGCAATTTCCTTGATTATACTGTGATGGTTGAGTTGTTAGATGATAATAAGCAAAATCAAGAATCGAAACTAATCTTAATTCATATTTAGTCAATATATTAGATAACACCATTAGCATGTGTCGTTGACTAAATAAAGTCAAATGTAAATAAAAAGTTGTTAATTATTGATGACCGAGTTTGTTGTAGAAATAGCTCTTTTGGTATTAATGTGGATGTAGTATAAGTTCTTGATTGAAGTGTTAATAATTCATTATGAAAACTGGATTCAAAACAATCTATTACACCAATTTCTTAAGCCATTATCCATTTCTTCCAGCGACGATAGGTCCGAGTTTAGACTCGTTCTCAGCTTCCAATAATCTTCATCTTCACGAGAAGGTATACAAGTCAAGGAAAATTCTGAGACATGTTTAGAAAAATACCATATTCTTGATGCCGATTCGTAGAAGAAGGTGTCAATTGCTTCGAGTTTCTGCATTCTCTACTTCGCAGCTTTAATATTTGTGCTTTCCAGAGGAAATTTGCTCTTGGTGATTTATAGTGGATTCGAACTCCTCCAGCCCCTCTGATTATTACTTGAGTCGTATCGATAGTGTCGGTGTGTCTTTAGATTATCTTGATCAAAGACTGGTATGACCTGAATAAACTCAGATTGTTAAAGGATCTGAATATAAAGAATTTTGAGCAAATGAGTAGATTCGGGTCACACCAGTCTTTGATCAAGATAATCTAAAGACACACCTACACTATCGATACGACACAAGTGATAATCAGAGGGGATGGACGAGTTCGAATCCACTAAAAATCACCGATAGCAAAATTTTTCTGGAAAGCACAAATATTAAAGCTGCGAAGTAGAGAATGCAGAAACTCGAAGCAATTGACACCTTCTTCTACGAATCGGCATCAAGAGTATGATATTTTTCTAAATATTTCTCAGAATTTTTCTTGACTTGTATATCTTCTCGTGAAGATGAAGATTATTGGAAGCTGAGAACGAGTCTAAACTCGGACCTATCGTCGCTGGAAGAAATGGATAATGGGTTAAGAAATTGGTGTAATAGATTGTTTTGAATCCAGTTTTCGTCGGAGTCACTCACTGCTCAATATATCCTGTAAACAACTTCCCAAGGCCAGAAGGATACCTCATTGGGCTGAGAACAAAAACAAATCGTGAGTGACAATGATTAATATTACAATAATCATTATTCTTATGTATTTTATTCATTTTGCTTTCTCAGGAGTTCTACAGTTTCATAAAAACTAATAACTTATTTTTCTAATCTTCTCGTCTTCTAAATTAAACGAAGAAGTCCTGAACGTGTCCTTTCTTCCATCATAAAATTACTGTTACTTACCATTTGTGAAATTGTTAAAACTGCATCGTCATTCATTATTCATATACGTAAATTTTTGCTACTTACTTATACTTCTCATCATATCTCTACTATACAAAATGCTTTTTATAAAAAACAACAACTTTCAATTAAGGAGAAAAGGAAGAAGGTAACAACAGCAGTTTCATTATGAAGTCTTCTTCTTTTGTTGCTATTGTATAGTCAGAGACCATACAGGTATAATAGATAAAAATGTCCATAAGAGACACATCTAAAACTGTCAAGGATAAACTATTAAAATATAATTTATTTCCTGATTATCCATCCACAACCAATGAACATGATTTAAAAACAGAATTAATATCAACACGTTGTTATTTATGCATATGTATGTAAGTACTACACTTGCATGAACGACATTCACAAACATTAATATGTTTATGTTCATTAATTGCTGTTCCATTTGAAAAATTTATTACACAATTTACACCAACTTATCACGAAGTTTGTTCATCACAATTTGTTCATGATGAATGGATAATATATCTTAACAGCGAGCCACCAAGTAAGAAAAAGAGTGTGTAACAGGGAACGGTTAGCCATTACAATGTTCATCATAATCGGTTGACCTTCTTCTCTCTCTGGATAGAAGCTCAGTCTAAATTGAAAATTCAACTTGTAGTGAGATAAGATGTTTAATAAAAAGCAAAATCGATTGCTACGGCCTTCTCTCCCTGGGAAGTTGTTTACAGGATATATTGAGCAGTGAGTGACTCCGGCGAAAATTGGATTCAAAACAATCTATTACACCAATTTCTTAACCCATTATCCATTTCTTCCAGCGACGATAGGTCCGAGTTTAGACTCGTTCTCAGCTTCCAATAATCTTCATCTTCACGAGAAGATATACAAGTCAAGAAAAATTCTGAGAAATATTTAGAAAAATACCATATTCTTGATGCCGATTCGTAGAAGGTGTCAATTGCTTCGAGTTTCTGCATTCTCTACTTCGCAGCTTTAATATTTGTGCTTTCCAGAAAAATTTTGCTATCGGTGGTTTTTTAGTGGATTCGAACTCGTCCAGCTCCTCTGATTAAAAATATACAAACTTACTAGTAGTAGCGGTTGTTGTGGTGGTTGTCGTTGTAGTAGTAGAGGCTACATTAAAAAAATAAGTGTTAAATAATTTCGAATTCACTATTTCTTGTGTAACCATAAGCCAGTGCTTTTTCTTTTCATGGTGGACTGAAATGAGTGGATCGATTATTAGAAATTTTAAATAGTGCCATTATTAGAAATTCAATATTCGAAACAAATGACCAACAAAAACGTTTCAGTCGCTTATGTAAGCTGGTTACATATAGAAATTAGTCGATAGACAGTGAACAAAAGTAAAAAAACAAGCAAGATGATCAGTAATGCATCTTTATAAGATTTGAGTTCATTTTGTTGTGTATACACCTTCTCTGTATGGATTTTTTTCATATGGACAAATTTGAGGCACTGATTTACAGTTATACTAGCCGACAGTGTCCGGCGTACGTGAAGTTTTCTTGATCCGACCCGTTGGGTCCGCCCGCTTTGTTGAATTAAGTAAACTATGTTTAGATCAAAATCAAAAAAGAACATTAATACTGATTTAAATATAAAGTCAAGAACTTATTAGCTATCGTTGTCGTCGTAGCTAAAACAAAAAATAATGAATCTATTATTCCTCCTATTCAACAAAACAATTTCATTCTATAATTCATAACAGCAAAGAAAATTTGTTTTTGTACAACAGAGTCTTCTCGATAGAAAATAATTATTCATATTTTTTGCTTATTTTGATTACATCTCGAGGCACATATTCATTCTCAAGGACGAAACATATCTCTATTTACCAGCATTTTTACGGTGTCTGTTACAGTCTTTGAGATTAGTAGATCCAAATTTCTACCGCTATAGATAACCAAAACCAATCGACCAATCAAAATAAACGAACCTGAATATTTCAATACTTGAATTTGGATGCAAGTAAAGTACTAATTAAAATCTTTAATTTCATTTATTCTTTTCGCTATATTTTATTGATCGTGCTTTGACAAATAACATGAAAGTACATTACTAGCCATTTTTATCATAAGAGATATTCAATTCACTGGTTCACGTGACCTATTTACAATTACTTTTTTAATCACGGGATGAATGATTCCGATTCAAAAACAAATTGACTTTACCCATTCCTGTACATGACCTCTTGACCTACCAAGCTCTTTTACGCTCTCTGGTTCAAATATAAAGTCAAGAAGTTGTCGTTCTCGTGCTCGTCGTAGCTAAAACAGAAAATAATTAATCTATTATTCCTCCTATTCAATAAAACAATTTCATTCCATAATTCATAAGAGCAAAGAAAATTTGTTTTTGTACAACAGAGTCTTCTCAATAGAAAATAATTATTCATATGTTTACAACTACGACTTTACTCAATTGTTTCATATAAATTAATTGTTTTCATTGAAACATAAACTAGAATCTTTTTTTCCGAAGCAACAACAACAAGTACAACAACCACAAGTACAAGTACAACTACCACTAGTAAGCATTTATGTCTTCTGCAAAAGTTAATCTTTTATTTTAATAAATCGAATATGCACGGATCAGCTAGCGGAGTCCGTCTCGGATCGGATCAGCAGTCTGAACATTTTCTTCTGAATGTTTTTTCATTTAAAAGACTAGAGAGCGTAGAAAAGCTTGTAGCCCAGGAGGTCACTAAACTAAAATCTTTTTTTCTGAAGCAACAACAACAAGTACAACAACCACAAGTACAAGTACAACTACCACTAGTAAGCATTTATGTCTTCTGCAAAAGTTAATCTTTTATTTTAATAAATCGAATATGCACGGATCAGTTAGCGGAGTCCGTCTCGGATCGGATCAGCAGTCTAAACATTTTCTTCTGAATGTTTTTTCATTTAAAAGACCAATTAGAGAGCGTAAAAAAGCTTGGTAGCCCAGGAGGTCATGTACAGGAATGGGTAAAGTCAATTTGTTTTTGAATCGGAATTATTCATCCCATGATTAAAAGGGTAATTGTAAATAGATCACGTGAACCAGTGAATTGAATATCTCTTATGATAAAAATGGCTAGTAGTGTCCTTTCATGTTGTTTGTCAAAGCACGATTAATAAGATATAATGAAAAGAATAAATGAAATTAAAGATTTTAATTAGTACCTTATTTGCATCCAAATTCAAGTATTGAAATATTCAGATTGGTTTATTTTGATATTGAAAGTAATTAAAGAACGAATGTCATGATAAAAACGCGTCGATGCATCAATGTTAAGATAATTTTATTCTTTGTTTCCACATATACTTCTGACAATGGACTGTGTACGCTGACATTGAGTTTGTAAAGTTCGAACGCCACTTTGATGAGTGATTCTT